TCTTCGTGGAGGAACGACACAGGACCCTGCGCTGTTCTTTTGTCTGCTCGGGCCTTCCCCGGGTTTGCTGTTGGTTCTTCCCGGGTTGGCTACCGACCCTTCCACCTCCGTGGAAGGGCGGTTCCCCCTAGCCACTTTCCCCACTTCCGCGGGGGAGCGGCACACCGCCGGCCGGCTCTCTCGGGGGCTGCACAGGTGTTCCTTCAGATAGATGTTCCTCTTAGATGTTCCTGGTGCATGTTGTCTCTCTCCTCCTTTATAGTCCTCTTCCACCAATCCCAACTCTGCTACCCACACGCCGAGTACGCTGCTCTCCTCCAATCAGGAGTAGGTCCTACAGTTTATTGGTTGAACTGGAGGCAGCTGTGTAGAAGCTGTTTCTCCCTTCTCAGCGCCATATTGTGGGAGAGCAGATGCATAGAATAAGTCTTAATTCCAGTAACTTAGTCTAGTCCGAGTTGCTCCCCACAGATCCCCCTTTCTTTTTATTTTTTGGCGTTGATACGCGCCTGTCTTCAGTGCCCCATGGCACACACTCTGCTCTGCTTGCTGGAGTTGCCCACAGGTGCTTACAAGCCCTACCAATCAGGCAAACCGAATCCGGGTCCTCTCTTCACCATGTTGTGAGGAGGTTTTTAGGCGCTGATGCGTGCCTGTGTTCGGTGCCCTGCAGCACATGCTCTGCTCTGCTAGAACTGCCTGCAGGTGCTTACAAGCCCTATCAATCAGGCAAACCGAATCCAAGCCTTCTCATTGCCGTATTGTGGGGAGACTTATTGGTGTTGATTCGTGCCTATCTTCGGTGACCTGCAGCTCATACTCTGGTTGAGCTGCCTACTGGTGCTTATCGCCTTACTAATCAGGCAGACCGAATCCAAGCCTTCTCATTGCCGTATTGTGGGGAGACTTATTGATGTTAATTCGTGCCTGTCTTCGGTGACCTGCGGCGCATAAGCTGCTAGCCGCCTGCAGGTGCTCACCACCTCCCTAATCAGGCAGACCGAATCCAAGTTCTCGCATTGCCATGTTGAGGGGAGGCCTTATTTTTCTCTATTTCTCTACCTCCGGGCATTCCTATTTCTCCTATTTTACTTCTATCTACCAGCATTCCTATTTCTCTCATTTTACTTCTAAATTTCTGTTTCTCTTATCCCTGCGGCTTCCCGGCGCCCGCCCCGAGGCTACTTCTCGGCGGCTTCCCGGCTCTGAGCCGCTTCAGCCCGCGCTTCTCTCATCTGCGCAGCTTCCCGGCTTCGCGCGCGCATTCCGCGGTCTCCGCGTCCCTTCGCGTCCGCACCACGGCCTCGCGCTAGCCCCGGGTTCCGTATCTACTTGTGCCCCGCGCGCTCTCTGCGTGCAGCGGCTTCCACAAGTCACACAGCACAGCTCACGTTTCCGCCACCGGTATTCAATCCAAGTTCCCCGGGCTAACCTGGCGAATTCAACCCAGCTCACGTCTGTGCCCTTCAGCTTGGCTTCCCGTCCTTTGCTCCCCGGGCTAATCTGACGGATTCCAACCTGGCGGCCCACGTCTCTGCCTCTGGTTCCAGATTTTCGCCTTTTGCTCCCCGGGCTGACTTGAAGAATCCCAAGATAGCTGACGTCTCCGCTTCAGCCTGCACTCGCGGCTTCATCCTCCCTAACATTTTTCTCTACCCGGTATGTTTCCCTGTTTTCTTCCAACAATATTCCTCCCTCATTTCTCCTGGCCTCTCCCCACAGTCCGTATCCAAGTCTAAGTTTCTTATAGGTTTCACTTTCACTTTCAACCTGCAGTCCGTATCTGAGTCTAAGTTTCTTCTTGCTTTCACTTTAAATCCTAACTTCTTTCCCACAGTCCGTATCCAAGTCTATGCCTAGGCTTTCGATAGCTTCTTCCGGCACCTTTTCTGTCCGGCTTTTCCCTAGGCTCTTTGCTAGTCTCTCTCTCCGGTATTTTCCACTTCTTCCCGTTTCTTCCCTCCTAAGTTTCCTATCCGAGTCACGGCACCATTATGTCGCTCCCCCTCTTCGTGGAGGAACGACACAGGACCCTGCACTGTTCTTTTGTCTGCTCGGCCTTCCCCGGGTTTGCTATTGGTTCTTCCCGGGTTGGCTACCGACCCTTCCACCTCCGTGGAAGGGCGGTTCCCCCTAGCCACTTTCCCCACTTCCGCGGGGGAGCGGCACACCGCCGGCCGGCTCTCTCGGGGGCTGCACAGGTGTTCCTTCAGATAGATGTTCCTCTTAGATGTTCCTGGTGCATGTTGTCTCTCTCCTCCTTTATAGTCCTCTTCCACCAATCCCAACTCTGCTACCCACACGCCGAGTACGCTGCTCTCCTCCAATCAGCAGTAGGTCCTACAGTTTATTGGTTGAACTGGAGGCAGCTGTGTAGAAGCTGTTTCTCCCTTCTCAGCGCCATATTGTGGGAGAGCAGATGCATAGAATAAGTCTTAATTCCAGTAACTTAGTCTAGTCCGAGTTGCTCCCCACAATATTCAAGGTGACAATTGATAAGTAACGGCTTTGTCCTGCCATTTCTCCATAAATATTCCTATTTTTACTTTGGATTTCTTTTGCACTTTTACTGGGAGATTTTCCTTCTTTATTTTCTTTCACAGTGATGACCATGTTTTTGTGTTTTTGCAGGGCTAGACAGGTGGTAACATTCAATTTCTGTTTGTTATGGAGGGTCTTTATTTCACCTTCATTCATAAATGAGAGCTTTACAGGAATAGTATTCTAGGTTGACAGTTTTTTTCTCTTAAGATTTGGGATATATCTCACCAATCTCCTAGCCTATAGGGTTTCTGATGAGAAGTTTGCTGTAATTGGAGATCCTCTGAAAGTGATCTGGCATTTCTCTCGTGCACATTTTAGAATCTTAGGGTTTATTGTGGTGAAGTTTTTTTTTTTTTTTTAAAAGATTTATTTATTTGAAAGTCAGAGTTATACAGAGAGAGAAGGAGAGGCAGAGGCAGAGGCAGAGGCAGAGGCAGAGAGAGAGAGTGTCAGTCTTCCATCCGCTCCCCAATTGGCTGCACCAGCCAGAGCTGTGCCAACCCAAAGCCAGATGCTAGGAGCTTCTTCCTGGTCTCCCACATGGATGCAGGGGCCCAAGCACTTGGACCATCTTCTACTGCTTTCACAGGCCATAGCAGAGAGCTGGATTGGAAGTGGAGCAGCCAGGTCTCTAAGTGGTGCCCATGTGGGATGCCAGCACTGCAGGTGGTGGCTTTACCTGCTACACCACAGCGCCGGCCCCTGTGGTGAAGTGTTTTAATGTCGTGGTGAAGATCTTTTCTGGTAAATGTCTATTAGGGGTTCTATGTGCTTCCTGTACTTGGATGTCTCTTTCTTTCTCCAAATTAGGGATGTTTCCTGTAATTATTTCTCTAAAATTACCTCCTAATCCTTTCTCTCTTTTCACACCTTCAGGAACCCCTAGAACCTGTATGTAGGGGTATTTGATAGTACCCTACAGATTACCAACAGTGTTTTTTAGTTTTCTAATTTCCTCACCTTGTTTTTTGCTGATTGCATAGTTTCCTGTGCTTTGTCTTCTAAGTAGGATATTCTTTTTTCTATCTCACCAATTCTGTTGTTAAGGTTTTCCACTGCATTTTTCATTTGTTCTATTGAATTCTTCATTTCATTTTGATTTCTCTGTAAGATCTCAACTTCATGAGAGAAATTTTCTTTCATGTCATGTACAGATTTCAGTAGTTCATGCATTTGCTTCTGATTACCTCTATGTAATCTTACTACACTTGATCTTAGCCAAAAGGCCAAGAAGCAATTACCATTATGTAATCTTATAATCAATTTTTTGAATTCCATTTCTTGTATTTCCTCAATCTCATCATCTTCACAAGCTAGTATTGAAGTGTTGTGTTCTTCTGGGGGCATCACATTGTTTTCTTTATTTGTGTTTCTTTAATTGTTGCATTTGTTATTCAGCATTTGTGGAGACACTCTGGTTTCTTGTTTTTTTCCGCCATGGTGGCTTTCATCTTTGTACAATGCATCTGTAGATTAGTGGAGTGTCAGCTTTCAATGAATATCTAGAAGCATGTGCTGGGTGTGGCCAGGGAGCTGTTTAGTTCTCCAGGGTGAAGGGTGTGTCTGAGGTGATACACCCAGGTTTGGAGTGGTAAAATTTTTTTTTTTTTTTTTTAAATAAGAGGTGAGGTTTATTTTAATCAACTGAATTCCTCCTCAAAGGTGACCAGTGCCTGAGCACTAGCCCCAGTGGGTATAATATTTGTCCACTCTGCCCCAAAAACCACACAAAAGATCTGTGCAGTCCTAAGTGTGAGCTCAGATTTCCCAGCAATGTCTCTCACCAAGTGACCAGGGACCCCTGAGCTTATGGAGTCTACAACAGTGACTGCCCAAAGTCCCAGCCACACCATGAGCCCTCACACACAGTCTGTTTTTTACATTCCTGGCACACAAGCCTCCCAGTCATGAGCACTCAAACCGTTAGTTCTCCCCACCAGTCAGGAGTCTCGACTTGGCTGGTTGCTGGGCAGGGACATGAGCTGGCTCAGCGATCACGTATGTCCAAAATGGTGTCTGTTCTATCCACTTTTTACAGGATGCTGTTGCAAGGTGATCGGGGGAGAAATGTACCCCTCTTTTTTCTCCTCTAGTTTGTCAGGTACACTATTCCCCATGGGGCTCCAACCTAGGTTCCCTCTATGCTTTTCCTGCAGCTTTATCACCAGTGGCTAGGGATGCTGGTCTCACCTTACTCTCCAATGCAGTAGTGGAAGCTCTTGTCTGCTGGTGTCCTGAGTTGTGGGCATCCACACCCTCCACATAGGTCCCCCGTGTCTAATTTGTGTAGAGTTTCCTCTGCCATTTTCTCCCTAACTCTTCCTTGAAATGACACTCTCTCCACCTTTTTAAATCTTCTCCTAGACTACAGCAGTGAGCTCCCTCCCTATTCCACCATCTTGGAGGCCACTTTAACTTTGTAAATTTAGGGGAAAAAAATGCTCAGACTGAGAAAATTTGGTTGTTAGAGACATAACCTGTTTTAATCGTAGAAATAAATGTACATACAAGTAAAGACAGTTCACTTCATCCTGCCATTCATTGGTGACTAGACGTGTCTGCGCACATATACATATGTAAATAATTTTTCACAATGCCCTCTCTAATGGTGTCTTGGTGTCAATTTAGATCTGTATCTTATTTGGTATCCACATAGGTGTGTATCATGAAGATTGTAATATCTTCCCTTGTACATGTACTAAAATTTATTTAATTCCCTAAAACAGGGCATTTTTGTTATACTGATATTTAGGCATTTTAAATGCCTCAGGCAACTCCTTGGGTCCTCTATTTCTAGTTTAATCCTTTCCTTAGAACAAAGCTGAGCCTTAGAACTGGAAGCTAAGAAGACAAGTGACACTTATGAGGCTTGGGATGTCCTTAAGGGGTGTCTGTGACATCCTGCTTCCAAACAAATTCCTCTGCATAGCCGCTGCCCAAGCTACAGCTTTCGGCACAAGTGAAGATGGCCAGGACGCCCCAGTCAACACTGCAGCCCAAGCTGTCGGCCTTCAGGTAGTTCAGCAGCTGTGGCATGACCTGGGAAGGGGGTGTGACACAGTCAGAAGGGTGTTTCATGGCAGGGAGCATCCCAGCCAGGATGGTAACAGGAAGGATTATAGACATTATACAGTTACCACACCTAGCAATGGAAAAATACTGTTTGTTTTAAAACCCCCTGTCTACTTCATTTGGCCTTCTGTCTGGTGTCTCCTTCCATTTGAGACAGTTCATTAATGACTATTACTTAAGCAAAACTGCAATAGATGTTCTTACTATGACTCAAGAAGCGCTGATTATGAGTAATGAAACAAGAGGACATCTGTTGATGTATTTGTATCTAAGAGGATTTAGCATCCCAGCTAATCTGAAAGGGCACAGTAACAGCAAATCTTACCACCTCAACTTGGCTTTAAGATTTTCCCATGGCTGGCACCGTGGCTCACTAGGCTAATCCTCCACCTGTGGCGCCAGCACCCCAGGTTCTAGTCCTGGTTGGGGCACCGGATTCTGTTCCAGTTTCTCCTCTTCCAGTCCAGCTCTCTGTTGTGGCCCGGGAAGGCAGTGGAGGATGGCCCAAGTGCTTGGGCCCTGCACCTGCATGGAAGACCAGGAGGAAGCACCTGGCCCCTGGCTTCAGATCAGTGCAGTGTGCCGGCCACAGCGGCCATTTGGGGGGTGAACCAACGGAAAAGGAAGACCTTTCTCTCTGTATGTCTCTCTCTCACTGTCTAACTCTGCCTGTCAAAAAAAAAAAAAAAAAAAAAAGATTTTCACATGGGGCTGGCACTGTGGTGTGGCAGGTAAAGCTGCCACCTGCATTGCTGGCATCCCATATGGGTGCTGGTTCGAGTCCCAGCTGCTCCACTTCTCATCCAGCTCTCTGCTATGGCCTGGGATATCAAGAGAAGATGGCCCAAGTCCTTGGGTCCCTGCACCCATGTGGGAGACCTGGAAGAAGCTCCTGGCTGCTGGCTTCGGATCGGCCGTAGCTCTGGCTGTCGTGGCCATTTGGGGAGTGAACCAGAAGATGGAAGTCCTCTCTCTGCCTCTCTGTAACTCTGCCTTTCAAATAAAAAAGATTTATTTATTTACTTTGAAAGAGTTACACAGAGAGAGAAGGAGAGGCAGAGAGAGAGGTCTTCCATCTGCTGGTTCACTCCCCAGTTGGCCACAATGGCCAGAGCTATGCCAATCTGAAGCCAGGAGCTTCCTGAGTCTTCCCAGGTGGGTGCAGGGGCCCAAGGGCTTGGCCATCTTCCACTGCTTTCCCAGGCCATAGCAGAGAGCTGGATCAGAAATGGAGCAGCCAGGACTCGAACTGGCACCCAAACTGGATGCTGGCACTGCAGGCGGCGACTTCAGCTGCTAAGCTACAGCACCGGCCCAAATAAATGAATCTCAAAAAAAAAAAAAAAAACAAAGATTTTTCCCACGAAGAACTAAGCGGATTTTGGATATGGTCTTCATAATCACTTTTCCATCTAAGAAATCAAATGTTATATATAACTATAACTTTGTAAGGCCTGGGATTTCAAGAGCACTTTCAGTCTGTGTAGTAGATTCTGATACTAACAATACCTCTGGAAAAAAACATTTACTGCTTCTACCCAAAATTAAACAGTATGGGTTCTAAAATACTCCTCTTACAAAGTATGGAGTCAAAGACCTTAATTAATGGAACAAGAAAAGATGGTGTTATTTAAAACTGCTAAAGTAACAGCAGAGGCATTAAAATAATGACAGATTCACACCAGGAGGGTTGCCTAGAGGGTTATTATAGAAGTCAGCTAACAGGTAATAATAAATTGACAAACACAAATACCAAAACAAGAGGCAGTTCTCTTTAAGGAGTAGGCCAGGGTGGGGCAGGACGATTTTTCTTAAAGGGCATCTTCTGCATCCCACACTCACCTAAGGCTGATGGGACACTGTTATTTACCATCATACCTGGAATTCAAGTATTCTCTTGGCACCACAGGGACAATCTGGAATATCCTTTTCTTGAGGGATCTTTTCACCAGAAATCCAGATGGGGGTAATACCTCTGCCATACCTGAGAATCTAAAAACCAATAAGGACGTTATCAGCACCTCACCCGCCATGTCCACTGGCAATACCATCTGCAGATCATTTAGACAAACTGCCTGGTTACAATTGATGGAGCTCTGATCCAAAGGCATTTTAATTCCTCCATCAGACCTGGTTATGTCAGTGAGCACCACTGAAGCCTGCTCCATTTCCTCAAAACAATTAGCTTAGGTGACTTAAGAGGATACCACAATGTTACTTGACCCAGTTGATGGTTCTACTCCCTGACACAGCAGAATCTGAACCCCACGGATCTGTTGTGCAGGGCCTACTCCTCGGATTCCTTTTACTAGGCTCCATGTGCAGGATGCTGCCCAGTGCATGCTCACCTGCCTACACACAGAGGGAGCCTTCAGCTTGTACAAAGTGATAAATGTGGCTGGTGCCGCGGCTCACTTGGCTAATCCTCTGCCTGCGGCGCCGGCACCCTGGGTTCTAGTCCCTGTTGGGGTGCTGGATTCTGTCCCGGTTGCTCCTCTTCCAGTCCAGCTCTCTGTTGTGGCCCGGGAAGGCAGTGGAGGATGGCCCAAGTGCTTGGGCCCTGCACCCGCATGGGAGACCAGGAGGAGGCGCCGGGCTCCTGGCTTTGGATCCGCACAGCGCGCTGGCCACAGCGGCCATCTGGGGGGTGAACCAACAGAAAAACGAAGACCTTTCTCTGTGTGTCTCTCTCTCACTGTCTAACTCTGTCAGAAAAAAAAAAAAAAAAAAAAAGTGACAAATGTGCCAGTCACTTAACCAGTGCAGGTTAAGCCACTGCTTTCAACACTGGCATCCCACAATCCCACACTGGAACACCAGCAGTTTGGTCCCGGTTGCCCCTCTTTCCAATCCAGCTCCCTGCAAATGCCCTAGGAAAGCAGCAGCAGATGGTCCAGGGGCTTGGGTCCCTGCCACCCAGGTGGGAGACCCAGATGGAGTTCCAGGCTCTTCAGTCTGGCCCAGACTTGGCCACTGTGGCCAATTGGGAAGTGAACCAGTTAATCAAAGAACTTTATCTTTCCCTCTCTCCCCTGTCACTCTGCCTTTCAAATAAATAAATATTAAAAAAGGAAAAATAAGTACAAAAAATAAAACTTGGATACTTATTTGACTCAGTGACTGGTTTAAAGGAATTTAATTATCTTTAGTGATCTATGTTGACAATGAGGGAAGTTAACGGGAATAATGTTTTAATATGTTATGTTGTTCTGTAAGCCAGTGAAAATTGTCAAAAATAATCTCCTCCTCCCCCTGTGATGCCTAACTCTTGTGCAACATCTCATTTATCTCCCCTCCCCAGTGCTTCCTTTAGAAAACGAATCCTTTCTTTTAGAAAATGATAAATAGCATCTCCAATATACAGTAAGTGGATCCAAACTGCAAAACACCTTTTGGTGTGGCCCATCTGTGTAAACGATTCCTATAATAAGATTTAAAAAAAAAAAAAAGCTTGCTTTGATAAAGGCCCCTGAGGAAAAGACCTGTCACTTCTTAGGGGTTGCATTCTTAAGTCGATGCCTGTAAAGAACACACTAGGAGGGACGGCTTGTTTTACCTGTTCTGGTTCGCCAGATATCTGAGTTTTAAACTTCTGGAAAATTTTATCCTCCTGGGATTCATGCTTTGCCATGGAATCTAGTTCTTCCTCAAGTGCTTCTCCTGAAAAATCAATGCCAACAGTTAAGAACAGGAACACACCTGCTGAGGGATCCTGGTTACAGTCAGCTTTCTCTGGTTCTCACTTCGAGGTACACAACGCAACATTATTTCCTATGCAGGTTTCATCCCAATCACACACCTAAGTCAAGGTGTCACATCACAGGGCGCCCAGCAAATGTGAACCCTTCTTTTCACTGCCATCTGTAGCCATTTGCTCTCCAGCTGCAAGTATTCAAATGTCTTTCACATTTCTTTTCCCATCTTCTGTACTTAGTCATTGAATGCCCATTTCCTTTTCCACACTCATTCCTGGAATTCCTGCCACCCTGAATCACTGCTGTCCCCACAGGCTGGTATTTGTCAATGTATCCTTTATTCTTTGGAAGGCGTATCAAAGTGTACTCTTGATATTCTCTGAGTCAGAAAATGGAAGATATTGATGGTGCTCACTGGCAGTCAGGTCTGATGGAGACCTGCAGATTCACGCTCCAGCTCATCTATAAGCCCAGTTTCACCGTCACCCCCTTGAGGGCACTTGCCTCCTGCCTGCCTGTCACTGGGAACTCAAATTCAGCTCTCAGCCAGGACACAGCTACCTCCAGAAAGCAGTTTTCATTTCCTTTTTGGAGATTTTAAATACCAAAGTAGGAATACTGGGATAGGCATTGTGACACAGCAGGTTAGCTCCCGTTTGGGAGGCCCACATCTCGTATCATAATGCTGGTTACTCAGTTTCTGATTTGGCTTCCTGCCTACACACCTGGGAGGCAGAAGATGGCTCAAGTACTTGGCCCAAGTACTCCCTGCCATCCACATGGGAGACCCAGATGGAGCTGTGGCTACTGGCTTCGGCTTGGTCCAGCCTCAGCTGTTGGGGAGTGACCCAGCAGACAGAGGAACTCTCTGTTTTTCCTGTCACTTTACCTTTCAAATTTTTTTCTAAAACAAAGGTAGAAATACCATAATGAACCACCATCATTTCAAGTCTCATGTCTCTTCAACAGTCCATCCCATAACTCAGTTTCTCTGAATGAAACCCCAGGCATCACTTCCTTAGTGACTGACAGTTATGTGCCCCAAGAGCAAGCTCTTTCCCTTTGTTTCCTAATTTTCAAAATCAAGAGCTTGTTGTTTAGTATTCTACAAGGTTGATAACTGAATTTTTAAAAAAGGATCATTCTGAACCCATCCCTGGGATCATCACATCAGATGTGTTCCAATCACTGTAGTCAGCGTGTGGGGCTCAGGCTGTCTATCCCTTGTCAAAGAAGCCCCACCACATGTCAGAGTCCTGACCTGACCCCAGTGAACAATCCTTATGTCCTTTTTGTAATCAAATCTCCAAAGATCTTGGAGTTTCCTTTCAAGAAACAAACACCAAGAACACCCACCATTATGAATCACTTGTACTTCCTGAGCCTTTACAAATGGATCAAATGTCTGATACAATACAAATTCAGACCAATAAGGTTTTTATGTAATCTTACATACTGCCAATACACAGACAACCATCTCAAAATATCTATAGCAACACTACCAGCAATATGCTTACTGAAAACACTGATATATTGAGTTTTCACTCCTGGAGTACATTTCATTAGGAAGGTTCTTTCGGATTAACGTGAAGTCATATAGAATACTTCTTTGTGTGGCTGTGACCAATGGTATGGTTTCATTTATTTTTGATTAGCAGGGACTGCTTTTTAAAACTTAGTTTCACTTTGTATTGACATCCCACAGTCGCATTCAAAGTCCAGCCTCTATACTCATTCCCCTCAACTCCCTACTGCTCCCGCTCTCCTGAATCTAAGCATTTTCAGGATGTATCCTTTCTGAAAACGTGAGTATCAATGTACACATACAAAACACAAGTGGCCCGTGCAGGAAGTGACCTCACAGGCGTCCCCATGGCACCTATGCTCTGTTAGTTGTCATGCGGTGTGCGGTTTAACTTCCCTAAACACTCTCTGGGCCTTCTCTCCGAGACTGTGAGCACCTGCCTAGCCAGGCACTGCTGCTTCCCACCGAATCTGTTATCAAACCCAAGGCTGATCGCCAACTGAGACTCAAATGCAGATGCTTTTGGAACGTTTAAACCAGAAGTTGAAATTCTTCTAAATTAATGGTTGTTAAAAGCAAAAGTTTGGAGCAGGTGTTGTGGAGCAGTTGGTTAAGATGCTGCTTGTGCTGTGCACACCTCGCACTCAAGGGCTACCTCCAGTCCTGGCTGCCCTACTTCCTTCTACCACTCCGCTAATGCGCCTGGGACGCAGATGACGGCTCAAGGACTCGCACTCCCTGCCACCCATGTGGGAGATGTGGATGGAGTTCCTGGCTCCGGACTTTGGCCTGGCCCAGTCCTGATTGTTTTTGTGGCTGTTGGGGGAGTAAACCAGCAGATGGAAGATTATTCTATCACTGTGCCTTTCAAATAAATCTTTTTAGGAAAATGTTGACCAAAAAAAAAAAAAAAAAAAAAAAAAAAACACACACACAAAGGTTTTAAAGTCACCAAGACCTAGGGTCAAGTTTTGTGATCAAAGCACATTATGCTCAGATCTCTACTTTCGCATCTGTAAAATAGGGCAGAGTTTCTATGGTATTGGGCTGCTGTCAGGATTGTTCATTTTTTTAATTTTAAAGATTTATTTATTTATTGCAGAGAAAGAGGTCTTCCATCTGCTGGTTCACTCCCCAAATGGCTGCAACAACCAGAGCCGAGCCCATGCAAAGCCGGGATTTCCAGGTCTCCCATGCAGGTGCAGCCCCAAGCACTTGGGCCATCTTCCACTGCTTTCCTAGGCCATTAGCAGAGAGCTGGATTGGGAGAGGAGCAGCCAGGACATAACCCAGTGCCTAAATAGCATGCCAGCACTGCCGGTGGAGGCTTAGCCCACTATGCCACATCGCTGGCTCTAGGATCCTTTTTTTTTTTTTTTTTAAAGAGAGACTGAACTCCCATTTCTGAAGCACTCCCCCAAATGCCCACAATGGTACCAGGAGCTGAAGCACAATCCAGGTCTCCCATGTGCATTGCAGGAACCCAGTTACTTGAGCCATCACTGCTGCCTCCCAAGGTCCACACTGATAGGAAGCTGGAGTAAGGAGCCACAGCTGGGAATCAAACCCAGGCACTCCAATTTGAGACATGGGTTTCTTACGCAGTAGGCTGAATGTCTGCCCAACTGTCAGGATTTTAATGTGCTCATGTACAGAACAGGTGCTGGCTATGATCTAACTACCATCAAGTCTCTTAGGTATTTGGTCAGCACAGGCACTTACCTGGAGTATGAACTTTAGATATTGACAAAGTAGTGTCCCTAAAACAGAATGATGCTGTGCTAGGTTACCCTTACTGCTTCCACCTGAGGAACAGAAGAGGTGCTGAGAGGAATTCACATTTCTGGAATCCTATGCTCTGTCCTAACAGGGAGTAGAACCTACCTGACACATGCCAGGAAGAGAGGTATGGGAGGGGGCATTCACTTTCAGCAACACTAAAGATTACAGGCGACAGCCTCCAAAGGGAAAATCTTTTCTTCTCACTCTTTTCTTGACATACGGAACCCCTTCAAGCTCTGCTTAATCCCTCAGTGACTGCAGTTCTGAAATTCTTACCCAAGCTCTCTACAACCTCAGAGTCATCTTCCTTTCCCACAACTGCAGGCGTTATCCCATCTTCTGTTTCTACGACAATTTCAAATTCCGGAAAAAGGAATTTGTGGTCTGGAACTATATGGTCCAACTGATCTAAAACAGAAGTTATGAGCATCATTAGAATTCATTTACTTTGATGGTCTAATGATTTCCTACTTCTAAAGCACAGTCATGTGTTGCTCATGACAGGACATTTTCTGGAAACTGTCATTATTTCACTGTGCACACAACACAGCATATACTCACTGAAACAACATTGTCACTCAGCGTAACCTGTTGTGCACTCCAGAGAAGTGTGAGGCTGTGGACAGCCTAACACACATGCTGTTTTATGGTAAACTTTTTTAAGTGTTGAGGGAGTACACTCTAAAATAGTGAAGAACAGCTAGTGCAGTACATTAAAAACCATGAGCACAGTTGTCATTTTCAAGTGTCATATGCTGTATTTAATTACACTGTACTTCATATGACTGACAGTGCAGGCTTACTCACACCTGCATCACCACAAACCTGGCAGTAACATACTGCAGCATGACATGTGGGCAGCCAGTTGCTAAGCAACAGTAACTTTTCAGCTTTTTTCAACCTTATGGGACCACCATTGCATACATGGTCCATCAGGGATGAAAATGGTACGTGCTGCACTAACTACATCCCATTCCCTATTGTAACAGTTTTCCCTACTACATTAATTTCAGAGGATGGGTCGCAAGTTAAATGCCTGATGACACAACTGAGTGACTCAGAGCCTCTCCCATAAAAGCTGTTCTCATGGTACCAATTCCAAAAAGCAATGTATCTTTTATAATTCTACTTTAAAAATTATCCTGAAAATGAAATATCTGGGTTGACAGGAGCCATGAAACTGAGCTGAGACTCAGGGAGAGTGAGGACTCACCTGGCTGTGCACAAGCCTGCTTATGTCCCATCTTCCAGTCCAGCGCCTGATGCTCCCTGCTGCAGTAATGGGCCTTGTGGCATCGGGAGCAGGCCTTGGGGCCTGAACACCCACACACTCTGCAGAGGTGGGCACCCGACTTCAGCTGGAGACACACAGAATCGCCTGTCCCTGGGGGAGGATTCTCAGGAGGGGGATCGTATGAGTAAAAGTCATTTCTCCTCGGTAACTGATTCCTGAAAACTAAGAATGAAGAGAAACCTTATAAATATTTTCAGCAGGACAAGATTCTAATATTCCAGCTTTTATTTCACATGAGACTGAGGCTCTCATTTTAAAAAGAGAGAAAGCTAAGCTTTTTTTCTTTCAGGAAGCTTATTTTCTAGGAGAGGGGGGAAAAATAAGTAAGCTTTTAATATCCAGAAGCTAGGCGGCACGGGTCTGACAGTCAGTCACCCACATCCGTAATCAAAGGGTGAGCTGGAACCCTGGTGCAACGCCAGCTCAACTCCCTGCTAAGGCACCTGAGGCAGGTGTTGGCGCAAGTGCTTGGGTCCCTGCCACCCGCGTGGGGACCCATCCTGGTTAGGCTGAGCACCCCAGCTGTTATGACCATTTGGCGAGTGAACCAGCGTATGAAGACCTCAATCTCCCTCTCTGCTTTGGAATGAATATAAACATATAGAGGCTGAATTTTGCCTGGCAGGAGCAACTGACTGTACTTTTGGAGCCGGCTACAGTTAACCAAGGTTGGCCTTAGTGTAGGGGGTAAAGCCGCAGCCTGCGGTGCTGGCATCCCATGTGGGTGCTGGTTCAAGACCTGGCTGCTCCACTTCCGATCCAGCTCTCTGCTGTGGCCTGGGAAAGCAGCAGAAGATGGCCCAAGTCCTTGGACCCCTGCACCTGCGTGGGGAGACCCGAAAGAAGCTCTCGGCTCCTGGCTTAGGATCAGCACAGCTCCGGCCCTTGCGGCCATTTGGGGAGAGAAACAGCGGATGGAGGACTTATCTCTCTCTCTGCCTCTCCTCTCTCTGTGACTTTCAAGTCAGGCTGCGAACGGTAAAGAGCCACGGGGACCCGCCTCCTCCCGTACCACCCAAAAGCCGCGGACGGGGAGGCCGCCCGGCCGGGGGAAGGCGCTCCCAGGGTCCGGGCGCACCTCGCAGGCCGGCGCAGCACGGCGGCTCGCGGCAGCAGAAGAGGAAGAGGCTGCGGTGGAAAGCGTCGGCGCGGCCGGTCAGCGGCGCGTACACCTGCAGCAGGAAGGCCAGCGGCCGGCCGCAGAGCCCGCAGGCCAGGGCCCCGGGCCCCGGCAGCCCCGCCGCGCCCAGCCACGCCGGCCGCCCGCCCACCTTGCTGGGGAACTGCTCGCTGCGCAGCCGCCACGCGGGCGCCTCCTCGGCGAAGCCCAGCTCCACCGGCGCACTTTGCAGAGCAGCCATGACGGCCCCGCCACGCCACGGAGCACCGCCCACCGCGCCGGAAGAGGAAGTCGAGCACGCGACCGGAAGGCGGGAGGCGGGAGCACTGCCGCTCAGAAGCGATTGGACGATGGGGCAGGGGGCGGGACCCGCGCCACACTTCCCTATTTCCGTCCCGTGAGGCCGGGGGCGGGAGTAGTTCAGCGTGTTTCTCGGTGGCGCGTGTCTGCGAAAGGTACGCGTGGAAACAGGGAGACAGCGGTTCTTTGGGGGCAAATAATCCGTCGCAGTGACCCGCTGTGGAGACGCAGCCGTGACAGGAAGTCGTCTCTGCAGCGCGAGGCTGTTTCTCCTCAGCCCGCCCGTGCGGGGCGCCGCGTGACAGGAGGTGTGTGCCAGGGTGGCGTGTACCGGCCGCGGCCTGGTGTGCGGCGCCCGGAGGCCCGCGCCCGCGCCCCGCGCGAGCTGCGCTGGGCAGCGTTTGTCTCTGCGCCACGCCGGCTTGTGGGGCCGGGCCCGCGATGCGCCCGGCGAGGTCTGTGCCCCCTCCCCTCCGAGGAACGACGCTCGCCCGCTTCCTGAACTAAATCCGTGCCCTGGAACGCAGACGCGGTTCCCCACCCTGGCTTGTGTTGCTCCTTAGGGCGTGTGGGGTTCGTGGGGAACCAGATCGCGGGTGAGCGGAGCGCCTGGCTGAGGCAGGGTTTCCGGTGTCCCGCCGCGGGCGGCCGCCCCGCCCCCAGCCGCGCTGCTGTGTCTTACGGGGGCGAGCAGCCCGCGGAGCCCACAGTTACGGAGTGCACCCCACGCCTGGGTGTCTGCTGGTTACTTGAGATTCCGCGTAGACGCTTTCTGTTCAGCTTAATTTGCTCATCCATTTATTTGCGAGTGTGGACACGCGAGCAGTTGCTAACTTCGGCGGTTGTTCATCGCTACACTGCTTTACCGTCCAGGTCACCCCACTGTGGTTGCTGAGGCCTCGTCCCGTTGACCCCTTCCTTTGATGCAATTCTTTTTAAAAGCTCTTCATTTTCTGATACTTCAGAATTAGCCTGGGTCAGACACGCCTTTGACTCCCCCAGCCCTAGTACCCGCCAAGTCTTCAAGGTAATCCTTTTAGTAGAGATTGTTGAAACCTACACCTGGGGGTGGGCATTATGTCACTTCAGGATGTCTGCTTCCATGGGTATCACGGTGCCTGGATTCAAGTCCTGTTTCTGTTGCAAATTCTAATTTCCTGCTAAAATGTAACCTTGGAAAGCAGCAACTGATGGCTCAAGTACCTGGGCCCCTGCCACCCAGATGGGAGACTTAGATTGAGTTTCCTATCCCTGGCTTTACCAGGCCCTGGCCTGGTTATTGCAGGCATTTGGGAAGTGAACCAGTGAAATGTGGTTACAGAAGTAATCAAAAGCAAATGCACGAATTACTGAAATCCGTACAGGGCAGGAAAGAAAATTTCTCCCACAAAGTTGAGTTCATAAAGAGAAATCAAAATGAAATGAAAACAAATAAAAAATGCAGTGGAAAACCTCAACAACAGAATCAGTGAAGCAGAAGACGGAATATCCGACTTAGAGGACAAAGCACAGGAAATTATACAGTCAAACCAAAAACAAAATGGAAACTGAATCAGTAGTAAAGATGCTCCCAACAAAGAGAAGCCCAGGACCGGATGGTTTCATTGCTGAATTCCACCAGACATTTAAAGAACTAATTCCAATTCTTCTGAAGTTATTCAAACCAATTGAAAGGGAGGGAATCCTCCCAAATTTTTTCTATGAAGCCATCATCACCTTAATTCCTAAACCTGAAAAAGATGCAAGAGAGAAAGAGAATTACAGACCAATTTCCCTGATGAACAGATGCAAAAATCTAGCCAATCAAATCCAACATCACATGAGAAAGATTATCCACCTGGACCAAGTGAGATTTAACCTGGTGTGCAGGGATGGTTCAACGTTCGCACATCCATATTGTAGCATGGGTCAAAATTGCCTTTCTTTTTAAGAGACTGATTAATGTTTT